TGCTTTCTGAGCTGCTACCTAGTCAGTCTTCCTAAGATTACAGAGAAAGGATTGGACTATAATTTGTTGACTTTAAAATATAAAATTAAGAATAAAGTATACTAGCACTTGCTTCAGTGGTTAAACCTGTCAAGCTTGGAATAAGTGATTTGCCTTAGAGAACCACATGACAAACACATGTTTGATTATGATTTGCATACACATTGTACCCGCAGTCAAAGTAAATAATATGCAAGGTAAAAGAACTTTTGTTTACCGTTCTACTAAATTATGGAATAAACTCCCGGATGATATTAAAACCAACTTTAAATCTATGACACTTTCAAATTTTAAGCATTCTATTTCAAATCCTCACCAATAATTCCTGCTTAATCTTACCTGATTTTCTCTTACCTTGCATATATTTTAATATATATATATATTTTTTTTAAATTTGTAGTTAAGTTTTTGCTCTCTTTGTTATTTTCTGCTTTTAAAATGTTTTTGTAGATAAGAACTGAACCACTTTGGAAATCAGTACTATGTATTGAAAGTGTGTATTCAGTATAAAGAAAGAATAAATAAATAAATAAAATGTTTGTTTAGTATCACAGATTCTGGCAGCACACTCTTTATCATTGTTCTTTGTTTCCACACTTGTTCAGGTCAACAAACAATAACTAAAGTAAACATTGTAACACGCAACTTGGTTGAAGAACCCTAATCCATTATGTATGATACAATTAAACCATTCGTATAAAGATTGTAAAGATTGTACAGATATAAATCATGGGTTCTTATCAAGATTTCAAATGAAAAAACCAAATTTCTATGTGAATATGCGATCTATAAAACATCACTGAGCACACAACATTACTTGATAAAATACACTCCCAAGAGAACAAAACTATATCTCTCAGATGAGTCAAAGAGCAGCTGTTAGATAGCGGTGCCTAACACTGGTGCTCAGTGGGGGAATCAAGTTGGGGGCCTATCCAGCCAGGTCCCCTCCCCTAAATTTAAAACAAATGGGGAAAGAAAGAAAATTATTCAAATTGTAATTGTAAGTGCCACTTCCGACCATTTTTGTGTTTACATACATTACACTTCCAAATTATTAAATCATATCTACATCACCATATAGACCATTTTCCAGCTCTTCCTTGATAAAAAAAAAAAAACTTTAGTATTTACATCATGTAAAAAATCCACAATCAATTTTGACATATTGATAAATAACACCGTCTCCACACTAGTTTGGGTCAATCAATAGCTAAGTAGACAACTAAACTCAAAAGTTGGTGAAGAGCCCAGTACAATCTATTATTTGTGAAAATTAAATTATTCATGCATTAAAGTATAGAATATGTTATTGGTTCTTATCAAGTTTGCATAACAGAGGGCATACGTTACCAAGTTACACCATTGCAATGGCTATGCTAATGTCATTCACCGGGAAGTAATCTGAGATAGCAGATTGAAGATACTGGTGAGGAAATATATTTGTTTTAAAACTGGCACTGGCAAAACCAGTCGTTTGTTGGAAATATTCAATATTGCGTTTTTTTGCATTTTTAGAATAGGAATAATTCTTCTTTAAAATCGTGTTTATTTGATGGAAAGTGGTTGAGTATTAGCGAAGTTATGAATATTTAATTCGTTGGATATCAGCCATGTAGGTTTGATAAAACAGCTTCCAAAACAAATAGTTTATTATTAAGAATTGTATTTTTAAAATAATATTAATATACTTTTCAGTTAACTTGTAACGGGTGCGTACTCACCCTCCCCCCAAATTACCAAAGGTCCACATTTTCCATGGTAGGAAATTCAAGACACACTCACACGTTCCGGAAATCCATCCACTAAAACTCTTTGACCAATCAGAGCCGTTTTCAACTAAGACTACCTCTAATTTGTCGTACAAGAAGGACTGTATAAGCTTTTAGAGGAATTAAGTGTTTTTCCCGCCGCTGATTTGTCAATGACTCACCGCATACAAATTCATCTTTCTATAGGTTTCACTAAAATTATTTATTCTCGTTAAAGTCTGCGAGTGCTATTGCTAGTGCCATAATCATAAATTTTTTTACCTCAGCCCCAACCATGGTGGGGCTTAGGTATCTAGACCGTCCATCTGTCAAAGTCCTTTTTAAGACCCCTCTATTTCAAATTCCTGGATCTGCCACCAAACAGGAATTATAATCAAATTTAAGTCTGAAAGTGCCATTTCCATCATAAATTTTCTCTCTTCAGCCCTAACCATGGTGGTGCTGAGGTGGGCGGACCCTCTATATCTGTATAGATCAGTTATGTCAAAATTGGCTATATAGTTTTGATAGACTATAGAACATTGGAAACTAAAAAAACTGAATAATGTTCGCTCTCAAAACCAGTGGCAGATTCAAGGGGCCAGTCGGTTTGGGCCCTCCTCCTAAATATGGAAAAGAAAAGAAAATTATATTTTTAAATTTCCGGCCATCTACTGTAGGAGTGCCATATCGTGAATTTTCCAACCTCAATCCCAACCTTGGTGGTGTTGAGGTAGTATGGACCTTCCATGAGTCTTAAGTCCCTCCTGGCCCCATCATTTCTTCAAGCGCTACTCAAAAAAAAAAAATTTCATACTGTTCATATTGCATCTTCAAAATCTATTGAGACCTCAAAACATCAATAATGTCTGAGAATGAGGGGGATTCGCCCACTCGATTGCAACCGTGCTCTGTCCCTGACAGCCCCAACCATTATTTTGGTCCACCCTCCACAAATTCGCAACAACCCAATAAAAATCCTGCGTACAGGCCTGACTAAAGAGACATTGCTTCAATAGTTGGAATTTGTTAAAAGCATTCTTTAATGTCTAATTAAAGAAAGGTCAGGTCTCATTTAATGTTATAGAGTGCTGCCTCTTCATTACTTGTTTAATGTTATTTTTTGAAAAAGAATAATTATTATTTATGTTTACAATATTTTTATTTTATCATGGTACAAGACTTACCAGAAATTGAATAATTTCAGTTTTTTAATAAAGTTATAAAAATATTAGATATTGATCATTAGGTACCAGTGTCACTTATCAAAGGTAGTTGGTAGATAATTTGGATTATTAGATTGCGATAATTAAACCATTAATGAATCGACTTGGTTTCCCTTCAAACTGCAATTTTTTTTTTTTTTTTTTTTTTTTTAAATATTTCCCTCACATCCAACAGCAAGTACACTCGCCACTTACAGGATGAGAATGATGCTTTATAAACCAAATCTCTTTATGAGGCTTAGAGAGTGGAATTGGTTTTGGTCGTAAGAAAAATTCCTGCTGTGACAGGAATTGAACCCAGGACCCTGGGACCAGAAGGCAAGCATCTTAACCACTGAGCTTATTCAACTCCACTCGGAAGCTTGTGTGTCCCAAGTCAGACAACTGCATTTCCTTCTTCAGATTTCCGTAGTTAATGAAACATTTCCATAGCATCACCCAATAACTTGCCTTGAGTACAAGATGGAGTCATAATTATTTTAAAAATTGTCGATTGTCCTGGGCCCGATCATTTTTGGGGCCAATTCAAAGTGGAATTTCAAACAAACAGGACAGGATGAAAAAATGTTCGTAGAAAATAGGCCTAACTACGGACATTCAGTAGTACTTCAGAAGTCTGCCCAAGTTGGTAGAGGGCACTTCAGGTACAACTGTTTCTTAACACATATAATTTTAATTTGCTGGGCATCGACACTGACTTCCAGTAGACAGTTGCTAATATAGTAGGCCCTATAGTAAAAACATAAAAATATTGTTCATTTGCAGAAGATGAGTTATTTTCGGAAAGATTCGTTGGAGAAAATAGTGGGAGACTTAGGACCACTAAGTTTTCTTTACCTTGATAAAATAAGTTCTACAATGTTCGCATAAATAAACAGTGCCAATAATTAAATATCAACAACTGTTTCCAAACTGAGTATAGAGCCTTACCTACACCCATTACTCCTGATACAAAGAAATCACTCAAGCCTTGTCATTCATTTTAAGATTTGCATATTAATTCCTGGTATTAAAAATTTGGTAATTGCAGTAAGTTGTGCAACAACTTTCAGATAAGAAATATTAACCATTTTCATAATTATATAAGCTCTAAATATAATGAAGTGTTTTAAATCTATTTTTGTGCTTAAAATTATAATAAATAATATGTTTACTAAAAGGATACTGTATTCTTTTAATTAAAGTTGTGTTGAGTGGAACTGCAGTTTTTAATCTCTTTTAACGAGTGCTCAGGAATGCCTTTGATGGTATTTCAACATTTATAAATGTAGGTAAAAGAATAGTAAAAAAAATTTTTATTCATATATTGTATTTATATATGGAGAACCTAAACTCCTGTGAAAGAATAAAAAGAAAAAAAATTTCCTCTCATGTAGCCAACTTCTGTATTTTTCTATGGTGATCATGCTTTCACCATTTCGTACTTTGTCAGTCAGTTTTTCTAAGATTACAGATAGAAGATCGAACGATAAAAGAAAAACACTAGCACTAATTGCTTCAGTGGTTAAACCTGTCAAGCTTGGAAGAGTAACAGGACAGCAATACGTCTAGCAACACACCCTTTGTTTTTGTTCTTTGTTTCTTCTTGAAATTCTGATGTTTCTAATTTTTTATGAATTTTAACCAAAAAATGTTATGTCAATAGGACAGGTTGGATTATAACCAAATGTACAAAAATTGAAATTGATGGCAATCTCAGAAGAGGAAGTCCAAAATGATAATAATAATAATAAAATTTATTTGGTAAAAGTATACAGCATCAAAATAACATGACTGTATTGCCCGGATAGGGAATGGGCAAAAGCCCGAACAAGATTTGTTTCCTGTCCTTCATATTATGAAATACACTAATTAAAACAAAAAACAATCAGAAATTATTGAGAAACATACGAAGATATAAAATGCTTAACTAAATTATTCTTAAAAGAGGATATGGATGGATACAATCAAAATAAGCTAAAAAACAGTGGAAATTGATCCCTAAATACTGGAGAGGTGCATGAACCAATATGGGAAATGAGAGTAAAAACAAATAGTTTGTTAGTTATTATGTTTTTATATTCACATTATTATTATTATAAATGTTTGACTTCCTGTTCCATCCCTATAAAGTTCAATAATATGCAGACACATGAATTATCATTCACTATTTTATTTTCATCCTACAGAATGAAAGAATATTTCTGAGTTCAAAATTGAGAATAGTTACATAATACTGCAATGTCTACCAGTTTTGGATGGAAACCAGTATTTTTTCCCATTTTTTGTTCTATCTTATTGGCAATGATACTGACAACAGTCAAATCAGGTGATTATGATTTTGTTCAACTTAAAGTGTTAGTAATTTATGTATTCATATGTTTTTAATTATCCTTCTGTTAATTACTATTTGTGAACTTGCTAACAATACAATCAAATCCCAGAAAACATTAAAGGAAACTTTGCAGATAATATAACCTGATACTGTAATCAGACTTATAACCAGGATTTTGTATTGAGGTGGGTTTTCTTTGTGAGTTAGAAGTCCGGGGGAATCTAGGCACTCTGGTAGCATTCAGGGAAAAGGATTATGTGAATGGTCGCACAATAAACACTGTTCCTGGAGCAGCATTCTGGCTTCTATTTATTGTATCATAAAACTATTAAAATATTTCTTGTATGTAAACATTTGACAAGTGAAGATGCTTAATCAATGCATGAACCAACTTCATGTAGAGGTGGTGGCTTGGAAGAAGGGTATTAGTGTTTTTTCTTTGACACTTCCATTCACTCTTATTGTAGTATCAAAATTGTAAGCCTTTAAAAAAAAAGTTCATTGACATAATTATCATGTCCTATATGGAATATAAAATATTGTTAATATGCCAAGCATGTTTAATTCCAAAGTAATACAATCAAGTTCACTTAGAATGTTTAACATGACATTAACAAATAAACTTAAATATAAGAAATGACCTGTCCGGTGGATCAGCCATAAGTTATCAAAAGATTTTACTTTTTTTTTTATAAGAAATATTTCTTGTTATACAATTTTGCAGTGTTTGTAGACCAAGTTTATCATGTATCCGTAATCCTAAGTACTTACACTCACTGGTAGTGCAAACATCACTATTACTGTATGTATTTTTGAGCACTGTTTTTCCTGAAATCAAACACAATTTCTTTTGTTTTACTTGCATTAATAATCAAGATTGTTATTGCATAAGTTTAATAAGTTATCTTTCTAAGTCTAATAAGCACTTTCATTGTTATTTTTTATTATTCCTATTAGGCAAGTGTCATCCACAAAATTAATATGTATTATGTATTTACCTACAGATAAAAAAATGCTAGTGAATATCACAGGGACAGGCCATGATATATATGATGTAGGAGACACCGCAAGATTTGAGTGTATAGGTAATAGAACCAACGAAAGCATTTTCCACTGGTCGTCATCTTTGGCTATAATAGAAAACGTGATGAAAACACGCAAGTCAAAATGCATCATAACAATTACAGCTGAAATGCATGCAGGAACGATCACATGTGAAATCAAGGAAGGTGATGTATCAGCAAGTGCCTCAATAGTTTTAACGGTATTAGGACAACAAGGTAAATAAAGAAATAGTTAATTGATATGTGTTAATTTTGGTGTCAAATTATATGTTATTGTGTCAACTGTGTTCAATAAACATCATTTTTATAAAGCTATGATGGTAGCCATTTTGAAATTCAAGATGGCCACCATGAAAATGGTCAAAAATCAATATATAGAGAGGACACAACATGTGATTAGACACCAAATTTTTACCATTTCGGCTAAGAAAAATTGGAATTAAAAAACAAAATATTGATTTTCGACAATTTTCATGGTGGCCATCTTGAATTTTAAAATGGCTGCCATCCTACCTTTTTGAAATCATGTTTATTGAACTCAGTTTACACAATAACACTGCCATTTTCTATCGGCACTGCCGCAGTGCCAAAAACTGCAGTGTTTACTTAGCAGACCAAAGCCTACTATGTTGACGGTTGCTAACACTAGTTAATATGTTGTCGGTTGTTGTTAACGGTTTTTGACACTAATTTTGACCAATAACATCAATTTCAATTATTGAACAGCAGCTTTTCGACTGTGGCATCGCCGTGCTGATAGGACACAGTAGTTTTTGGCACTACGGCAGTGCCAATAGAAAACAGCAACTTTTTTCGCACTGCCGCAATACCAATCAATAAACAAACAAAAAATAACAGTTTTTTTGGCACTGCAGCAGTGCCGATAGAAAGCAGCAGCTTTTTCGCACTGGGGCAGTGCCGATAAAAAGTAGCAGTCTTTTTTCGCACTGCGGCAGTGCCGATAAAAAAAGCAGATTTTTTCGCACTGTGGCAGTGCCGATAGCCAATTGTGTTGACTTAAATTTGAATGAGTCAGACTTTTTCAAGTCAACTATGTTACATGTACATTGACTTGAAAAATATTTTTTACAGAAGACTCATCTTGTTTGTGTCTCTCATTAAACTTTTTATATAAAACACCAAAAGCCTAATAATATTAAATTTTAGAGGCTTACTGATCAGGGCGGATCTAGGTTCACATTTGGGGGGGGGGGGGGGTTCAGACTTTTTCATAAAAACGCCCAATAAAAGGGGGGTCCGGAAAATTTTGATTCTTAGATGGCAGGATGAGCTTTTCCGACTTCTGAGGTGTCTTTTAATGACTTTTAAGTTCTTTTAATTTCAAGGTTTTCCCCCTCTTGAAAACGTTCAGGTAAACTTTCTCATTCTTATTAGAGTAAATAGGCCTATTTATGTGTGTATACGTACATTTAAAAAAATTTAGTTGCTTACGTATTCTTTTTTCCATGGATGGATAACCCCAAAGAGGAAGGGGGTGGGGTCTTCCCCGGGAAAAATTTGATCACTAGATGGCAGGAAATGAGCTTTCCTGACTTTCTGAGGTGTCTTTTAATGACTTTTAAGTTCTTTAAATTTGAAGGTTTTCCTCCGCTTGAAAACGGTCAGGTAAACTTCTCATTCTTATTACTGTAAATACTAGTAGCCCTACTATGTGTGTATATACAGTACATAACAAAAGTTGAGTTGCTGCACAGATATTCTTTTTTCAATAAATCAATGAACCCCAAATAAAACGGGGGTCGGGAGTCCTGGGAAAATTTTGGTTCTTAAATGGCAAGAAATGAGTTTTCCCGACTTCTGAAGTGTCTTTTAATCAAAATTCAAGGTTTTCCCCTTTTGTAAACAGTCAGGTAATTTTTTCTCATTCTTATTACAGTAAATAGGCCTATGTGTGTACCAGTACACAGAATTTTTTTTTTCCCCAAAGAAGGGTTCAGGACCCCCCTGACCCCCTCAGATCCGCCAATACCTGATGACTAAAATATTTAACACATTTAATCTTATTTAAGAAATTTTGTCTATATTGAATGTACAACTGTATGATTTGATGAGTGTCGAAAGTAAAATAAACAAACAAAACAAACAAGTATTTTTGCTACTATTTTAGTCAACTATATTACATCAAACTCTTTGCTCTATGATTACATCAGAAAGACCAGATGAAATTCTTTGATTAATATATACTGTAGAAAATCTGAAGGCGTATATTGAAGGAGGCAACCGAACCTACAAACCTGGAGAGACTGTTAAACTCACTTGCAAAGGAAATAAAACATCTGATGCCATTTTCATTTGGGAAACAAACTCCACGTCTCCGGAAAATAGACACATATGGGACAGTATGACAGGACCAATAATGAGTACTCAAAGAATATATGAAGAGCAGAATTGGCTCAAAATTACATGTAAAATAAGAGAAAACAACATTTATTTTGAACCAGCAAGCATTATTCTAAAAGTGTCTACAGATGATAACGAACGAACTGAACCAGAACCAGAAACAGGTGAGGATTGGTAAATATGTAAATAACTAAAATGATAATTGGTACCTTAATTATGATCAGAAGAAAGCAATTTTAACAAGTTTTTGTGTAGATTATGGCATATGGCATCTGGACTATAAGATAAATGGCCAAAAATCTAAATAAAAAATAACTAAAATGATGATATGCAAATTTGATAAAGAACAGGGGGGAGAAAATATTCACCTGGGTTTTTAGGTGTGTGATTAAGTGGAGGGATTGGAGAAATCACTTCAGTCTGTAATAAAGATATCATAGGAGTGATGTTTTGCCCTACCTGACGTGTTATCGTATTGAGTACATTTCCAAATACTTGTGTTGCTAGTTATTTGAATGGGAATCGAACCCACGACCTCCAGATAATTAGCCTGGTGTCATAACCACAAGACCAACAAGCTTGGTTATTTTTTATAGAAATTCAATGATAAGCAACATTTGTTTTAAAACCCTAGGTCACCTGAGTGTTAGAGGATTCCCCCTGGAGTGGTGGATTCAAGGGGAACCCAGTGAGCCCATGTCTCCGTAAATATTTCAAAATTATTTTTAAAGTATGGAGAAGAAACTGAAAATTATATTAAAATCCTGAGAATGCCACCTAGAGGCGACGTATAATCTTAATTTTTCTTACCCCAGCTTCAACCATGGTGGGGCTGAGGTGCCTATCTGTGAAGGTCTCTTTGGGCACCCTCTATTTTGAATTTCTGGATCCACCACTACAAGGACCACCCCACCTGTGCCAAGGTCAGAGAAAATCCTGGATCCGCGCCTGAAATCTGATAGTGTTGGAAATAGTGAGTGCTAATATTAGGCCAGTCAGATAACCCAGCAGAATTAAAGCAGGGGGGTGGCAGTTTACAGCCATAATATTGGCGCTGGTTCTGGAGGTGGAACAATTAGTCTTCTCGGATATGGACTATACAGAATTACACAATCATCTAATGTTTTTAAAGAACCCAGTACATCTTTCGAAATGAGTAGGGGATTACCCCAGTGTACTAGACCAAATTACCCCTATTGTGGACAAACGAGCATGGCCACAAAGAGACCCTTAGGGAAAAATAAAGTTTCTGTATGAGCTAGTCTACGTTTCAAGCGCTTTTGGATTCTTGTGCTACTGTACAATATAAATCCAACTATTATTATTATTACTCAGTTGAGCGCTTGCCTCCTTGCATAACCCTCACATGAGAGTTAGGTGGAATAGGGTAGACATGGTTACGGCACCACATTATGACAACCACAGGTTTCCATGAGCCCAGCCAAAATTTTGTATTCTAATTTTCAACATTGGAAAAATGACAAAAATGAAATTAAAAATTTCAAAAAATAACAATGAGCCTGGAATATTTTATAATTTTCTTAAATTATCTCTAACAACAGATACAAATTTGGTTTGGAAAGGGATCATTGCAGTAGTACTTGGCCTATTTACCATACTATGGGTAAGATCTTTTACAAATATTCTAGTTTTGACAATGCAATTTTCATACAGTAGATACAGTTGGGCACTGGAGGATAACAATGCTTTTGCACTGATCAGGTCACCAAGGGGGTTAAGAAAAAAAAAATTAAAAAAAATAAATAAAATCAGTAAATAACAGTGCTCAGATAAGAACATAAGATTTTAGAAACTGTATCAATCATATCCCTTCAACGAAAATGTAATTTTTTTAGTTGTATGAAAAAAGGGTCTTTGGTAAGATTTAAACCTGTGCCTCAAGCTATCAAGACGAGTGTCATACTGTTTGATCACGAAGACCTATGTGGCATAGGCGCACAGATCTACTGTAGCACAAGATGCATATGACTCAAGATTCATACATATGACTAATAATGCAAGCAAAGCTTGCAAAGGAAAACTCTTTCCTTTTTTCCAACAGTTTTGCACAAATGGCAATTTGTACATTGCTGTTGAATAAACTTATGGTAATAATATAATTGCTGCTGTGTCTAAGAAGATCTTTCATTATTGAGTTCAAAGGAAATCTTAACTTCCATTTTTTTTCTCCAACAGGTTTGCAACAGAACAGGTGGTGGTGGTGCTGCTGGTGGTGCTGCTGGTGCTGCTGGTGGTGCTGCTGGTGGTGCTGGTGGTGCTGCTGGTGGTGCTGCTGGTGGTGCTGCTGGTGCTGCTGGTGGTGCTGCTGGTGGTGCTGGTGGTGCTGCTGGTGGTGCTGGTGGTGCTGCTGCTGGTGGTGGTGGTGCTGCTGCTGGTGATGGTGGTGCTGGTGATGGTGGTGCTGCTGCTGGTGATGCTGCTGCTGGTGATGCTGCATGAATACAAAAACTACAGAAGCTTCAGGGTTTTTAATGAATTTGATATTTGTTTTTTAAATGTTGCTTGGGAACAGAAACCCTGTACTGTAACAATGTTTACATTATATTAAATTTTAACTATAAATATGTGATAAGTAGAATGTATATTAATGATGATAAATCAATGATTAAATTAGATAGAGTAACCCATGTATTTGATATTTGTATTTGCCTATTTTATCTTCTGATATTTTAAAGTTACATTTTTTAATTGTTTTTTGAGTGCAATGTGTGTTTTTTTTTTAATTATTATTAATTTTGGTGTTCCATGTTTTTGAATGCAATTCACTGTTCTTGCCATTTTAAAGATTTTAACTTTGGAGTATTTAGAAATATTCTCATATGTTTTTGCATTGTAGATAAGATTTTTATGAAAAAAGGGTCTTTGGTGAGATTCAAACCTGTGCCTCTAGCTATCCAGACGATTGTCATACTGTTTGATCACGAAGACCTATATGGCATAGGCGCACAGATCTACTGTAGCACAAGATACTTTCATACACCTGGCTAATAATGCAAACTAAGCTTGCAAAGAAAAACTTTTTCATTTTTTCAAGTTTTGCAAAAATGGCAATTTGTACATTGCTGTTGAATAAACTTATGGTAATAATATAATTGCTGCTTTGTCCAAGAAGATCTTGAAAGTGTAAAAAAATCACCAAAGGTATGCAAGTTTATATGTGAATTGTGCACTAAAAAGTTATTTAAGACTCCTGTTTCCGAGATGAAATGGGTGGCAGAATTCAATGATCCTGAACTGAATTAGCCTGATATTTACCTTGCCCCATGTCTCTGTATGCAGTCGATGAGTTTAGGATACTTTCAGTTCAGGTTTTTACATCGAATTCTGCCGGTAAATGATTTTCTTTTTAAAATAAATATTATACAATCTGAAAAGTGCACTTTTTGTCGTTTAGAGACCGAAACAATTTCTCACCTTTTCTGGGACTGTAAAATCGCTATTAATTTCTGGAAAGAAATTAACAAGCATTTTATATTAGATGAAAGTGAATTGTCCTATAAAGCTGTTTGTTTTGGTTCTCAAACTAATGTTCACATAAACTTGGTTGTTTTACATGCAAAGTATTATTTATATATATGTCGATGTAAGAATAAGAAGCCGACATTGTTGGAATTCAAACAGAAACTCTCCTTTGAAAAAGCAGTTGAAAAGCATATAGCCCTAGGAAAAATGTGTCTTTCTAAATGGTGTGATAAATGGAACTTAATTAATCTGTGATTTTGTAATAAAATGACACCCTTGTAGTAAAAGTGTATGTCAAATAGACGGTTGAGGTGTTAAGATCATTTATGTAAATTTGGCACCAAAACTCGCCAAAATGTGACACTTCAAATAATAGTAAATTAAAGTAATAGTAAAAGTAAATGTAATCCAAGCACGCTTGTAATTAATGCTTTGAAGATATGCAAGGTAAATTATTATTATTATTATTTTTTTTTAATATAGTTCTACTTAAAAGAGGCCTTCTATTATTATATTTCATTTTCTCTATATAGTATGTTACTTGTGTTTTATATAAAGTATAACTTATGTGAGCTTCATTTATAAATTAATGTGATTATGGAAATAAAAGGCTTGGCAAAGAAAAAAAAAAGATCTTTCATTATTGAGTTCAAAGGAAATCTTAACTTCCATTTTTTTCTCCAAAAGTTTTGCAACAGAACAGATGGTGATAAATAAATTTTGATATAATAAAGATAAATTTTAAGCCATCTTTCAGTAGTGCTATATATAATTATATTTAAGATGTTAAAGAAGAGGAATTTGCAAGTGAAGAGCCATGGATAGTCTTACTTGTCAACAGTTGTGTAATCTCTTAAAGATACTTTGTCAAACAAACTACTGCTCAACACTTGTGTAATAAATTTGAAATGTTTGGTTGTGGTATAATCATATCATGTTCGTCATAAATCTTCTTCCACTCCTTCCTTATTAACCAGGTTTTGCACCTGCTGTTGTCTGAGATTAAAGACCATAGCATTGTGATCAAAAGAAAACGACTTGATTATTACCGATATTTGACCAATTTGTATATTTGACCAATTATTTTTCAACATGCCAATATAGAAATAATTTCCAAAAACATCAGTATCCGCTTCTCTATATTCCTTTCAACGTTCTGTAAATGTTTTCAGCAATCCAATGATATCAGATCCTCAAAACTTTGAACAGGAAATGCAAACTTATAAAACTAAAGAGGGCTCACTTCACAAATTTTATTGTACATTAGTAACTAATTTTTTCCTTATCTATTATAATGGACACAATGTTTAATGGGTGCCATTGATGTGAATGCCAGTAGATTATTGTTACTAATGACAAGAGTTCAACATGCCTACCGACTGAGATACAAATTTTAAACCACTTAATAAAACAATTCTTACAGTATCTATTTAAAATAAAAACACATTTTCATCTGCTAAAATGTTGCCAACAACGATAAAGTGAGTGTGTGCCACATCTAAATAGCTGTGTGAAAAGTACATTAACATCCTGCTGCTCTCTGATGATCGTATCAGAATGGTAACATGCTTGGTCAACTTGTAAAAATTCAGAACCTGTTGATTGCCCATAGATTATACTTTGGAGTGTTAGAAAGCACGATTTTAAAATATTTTTATCGTAATAAAACAGCAATAATATTGAAAACAAACAACTAAAAAAAAACAAGGTCGGTGTATGAACTTCAGTGGTCTATTGTTATCCTATTTTATGACCACTGTTTATATGTATTTATGAGCTAACAGTGTTTAATCATAGCTATGTAAAACAAACATTAGCAGTTGCCTGTATCCAATTTAAAATAGAAAGAACTGGCTACATATGGGAACTGGAAATGATTCCACAGAAAAATATGCGTTGGAGAGATATCAATGGACTATGCTTGTAGAGGAGCAAAGGCCTTAAGTAAGCACAATATGTTTCTTCTCCACAGTAAGACTTGTGGGATGCAACATGAATTGTACTAGAAAACAATGCCTTTGATATGATAACACTTCAGTTATTGGTCCTTGTGAAACAGATCACTTTTATTTTACAGGTTATTTTTAAGACACCTTTGAGCATATTATAACAACAGGGGCGGATCCAGAGACCGAAAGGGGATCAAATAATTTTTTTCCTTCCTTCCCCCCCACCACACCCTTTAAATCCGCCCCTGAACAATGCATTTGATTTGATGAAGTCCTTGATTTAATGACACCATTCAGATACAGAAAAATCCCATTCAGCATAAAACACATTTGTTGACACATTTGAGAATGGTGCATTTCTTTTGCCACCATTGTAAAGATGATAGCATCTTTGAGTAGTAAAAGTGGATGAGGGCACTGTTTATTTTTGTATTTTTTTTTTCATAGGGCCTATCTAGTATTGTATCTTTAGTAACCTAATATCATTAATGATGAAATGTTCCCACAATATATTTTCATTTGTGTCTATAAGCCCTGTAATACACCTAAGACTGAAACATAGCACAAACCACTTCACAGCCCATCAAAACTGCAAGCCAGAGTATCTAAAGTGGTCAGCGTGTGGCTTGAACTTTAATGGAAAAAAAAAAACGCCTTTTTCTGAGTAAGTTGATAAGGAAGCATTTATGCAATAATCATTTCTGAAAGAAATGTTCAAAGAAGGCACAGAAAACTCATGTTAGATAATATTTATTTCTCTTTTATTTTTGTTCTAATTTTACCAAAAATGACATACACCCTGCGCCACAATTGTACACATTTTTTCATCTGCATTACACTTTAAAATTTACCCAAATATTACTTGAAGTGGCACTAACAACAGCATCAATTAATTTAGCACACAGCTATTCCTGTATTTGTGTACATTTAATATATCGTTTAGTTCTCCATTCCTTATATTCATACATATGGTATATGTAAATATATTGGAAAAACCTAGAAAATTCAAATACATGTGACTGAATAAGTTTTAACTTTCAATGATAAAATGATTGAAACCATTTTTGAATGTTTTTCAGATTCCAGCAAATTCCTTCAGTTGATTACCTGCCACTTTAATGGCTTTTGTAAAAAATATAGCACAACACTATTATGCATAATAATAAATAATATAAACAATTACATTTCTTTTTTGAACCATGAATTTAAGCTATACTACTAAAATAATATTCATTTAAAAGTGAGGTCTTTTTTTTGGTGGGGTGGGGGGTAGGAGTGAAATTTAATATAATTATTACATTCATATTAATTAATAAAATGAATAAACATGGATACATGACCATAATGAGATATAAAGGTGAAGAAAAAAAAGAACATTTTTACCTAAATTGTACAACTGTATACGATAAAGTAACAATATACATAAATAAAAATATACACAATTAGGGTGGAGGATACCGGCGCTATACAAGTTTTCATTTACCATTTTATCAATATACAGTATACATGACATATACAAAGCATTAAAAATTAAGGATCAGTACGAGTCATGAATAAGCAGGCACTCACAGAGAGACGGGAAATTTATTCAAGGTCACATCCTGTTTGAAACCTCAGGAGAGTGAAATGGCACCACAAGAACCTAGTACATCTATAGCAAAATGAGTGGTGAGTAAAACAGCTAATGTCCAAGTTTGAGCGAATAGTTTTTTTACCTTCAGCCTTTAGCTTTCTACTGACCGTCATAATTTGAATATCCACTATTACTTAACATATGAATACATCAATAATTTGCATTCAATCCAAAAAAAGTAAGTAGTTTCTTACTTTTTAATTGTGACTTAAACTGACATGGTAGAGTACTCTCAAATCCATTGAGAATCAAATTGATGGCAGTTATTCTTTCGATAACAATGGCTACTTTTAATCTTATACTGTACACTTTCATACAGTACACAATAGCCTATATTCTATTATAATATTTGTGGCATTAATACGGTAGGAAAAAACACAACTTCCGAAAAAGTA